CCCCAGCCCCCTCCCCTCCCCCTCCCCCCCACCCTCCCCACCCAGCCCCTCCCACCCTCCCCACCCAGCCCACCCAGCCCCTCCCACCCTCCCCACCCAGCCCATCCCCACCCAGCCCTCACCCTCCCCACCCAGCCCTCCTCACCCTCCCCACCCAGCCCTCCTCACCCTCCCCACCCAGCCCTCCCCACCCAGCTCCTCCCCACCCAGCCCCTCCTCACCCTCCTCACCCTCCCCACCCCAGCCCCACCCTCCCCACCCCTCCCCTCCCCACCCAGCCCCACCCTCCCCACCCAGCTCCTCCCCACCCAGCCCCTCCCTCCACCCAGCCCCACCCCTCCCATTTTTTTATGCACGACGAACGGACGGACACAACAATCCCCTGTGGGCTGGTGTAACAGGAGGTTCCCAGCGGTGTAATAGTGAGTCCAGCTCAGGCACCGAGAGCAGTGCGGCCTGATGGAGGTGGTCACTGCAGCGGCAGTGGGAGATGTCCCCCAGACGCGCGCTTTGTGTGTGTCGGTGTCGCCACGCGCTGTCACCTGTGGCTCTCTACTGAGTTCATGGCTCTTGTGAACACTGACACATATGATTCTGCCTTTGTGAGTTATGAACCGAGTTTCACTGCAAGGCAACGTTCAATTAATAGAATGGTAAATGCAAAGTCGTATTTAATTTTGACTTAAACTTTCGTGACTGCAGGAATTCAAATTTTTGGTTCTTTTTGTAAAGTCACGAAGATAGAAAGTAAAAAAATTTAAAAGTATCATTAATTAAAAAATAATAAAAGCAAAACACCCAATTTATTATTTAGACTTCAAACTTATTATTTTTAATTAAAATGTTATTTTATTATTTTTATCATTTATTTTACATCTCCGTGACTTTACCTGTAAGAACCAAGAATATTAAAGTTTAAAGTCAAAATTCACCCTCCACTCACCCACCCAATCACGAAAGCCGGGGGGGGGGGGGGGTGACACCACGTGACCCACAACCCCCCGTGGAAAAGACGCTGCCAACCGATCATTCGCCTACCGCATTCGTTAACACATTCACCCATCATCTCTGCCTTGACGCAATCCACAACATTTATATCTTAAAACACCCCTCCCTCCCTTCCCCTAATAAATAAATTATGTAATTGTACACATTTTAAACGAGATTAAACCCATACTTACAATATTGTATACGTAAGTTTTTATTATTGCATCGTGACGAAACTGGCTGCGAGGAATCAGCGGCTTTGTCCCCCTCGTGCGCTTTGCAAATCTGGCTTCGCGCCAAACTCGCTAATTCGCGTTAATCGACAAAAGTTTAACTTGATACAACTTCACAGTTATACAAAGTTAGCGTTCACTTCCCTCACGTTTGAGGGAAATCCCTCATCGTTGTTGTTATCGACGTCATCGCGGCTCTTATCCGCGTGTTTTTTTTTAGTTTATTGCTCGTTGGTGGCTTGTGGTTGTTGTATTGGGGGGTGTGAGACTTCAATTGACATGCCGAGGTTACTCAGGTGCGTGAGTGGCTCTGTGGCTGTTTCATACAGAGAGGGAGTTTGTTGTTGGGGGGGGGGGCAGATCGCGTCAATGTGTAAATGTTGTGTCGCTAAACTCGCCACCACCCGACACGGCAACTGGTGAGAGGGGTGGTCACGTGAACAGAACGTGGCCAATTCGTCACTAGTACAGCACGAGTGTGTGTAGTGTATAGTGTAGTGTATAGTAGTGTAGTGTATAGTAGTGTAGTGTATAGTGTAGTGTATAGTAGTGTAGTGTATAGTAGTGTAGTGTACTAGTACAGCACGAGTGTGTGTAGTGTAGTAGTATTATAGTGTATAGTGTAGTAGTATAGTGTATAGTAGTGTATTATAGTGTAGTAGTGTAGTGTATAGTGCAGTGTACAGTAGTGTAGTGTATAGTAGTGTACTAGTACAGCACGAGTGTGTGTAGTAGTGTAGTGTTTAGTAGTATAGTGTAGTAGTGTAGTGCATAGTGTATAGTAGTGTGTATAGTGTATAGCATAGTGTATAGTGTAGTAGTATAGTGTACAGTAGTGTATAGTAGTGTAATGCGGGCGTAAACGGCCCTCCGGAGGTGACGTCAGGAGGGGAGGAGTTAGGTCACGTGGGGGGGTGAGGGGTTAGGCTATAGAAAGAGGGGAACCGGAAGAGGACGGGGAGTGACGGGGAACCAGGAACAGAGAGAGGCCACGAAGGGCGAAGCGGAGGGTGGCGAGATCGCCACGAACACGGGGGGAGCGAGGATCGGCACCGTTGGCCAGCGGTGACCGACCCGAAGCAGCGAGGAGGCTGCAGTCAGCAGCGGGGCTGCATACAGAGTCAGCAGCGGGTCTGCATACGGTAGCAGCCAGAGGGTCTGCACATAGGGGTAGCAGCGGGAGTCTGCATAGAGGTAGCAGCGAGTCTGCAGGGAGGAGGTTACGGTAGATGAAGCGGAGAGTCAGAGGGAAGAAGGAGCTATAATAGCAGTGAATAGCCGGGGGCTACAAATACAGAGTTATAACAGAGTGCCGTGTGGGTGAGGACGAGAACCCAATAAAAGACACGAAGACAGAAGGAAGTGTCCGAGTCCTTTTATTACACTGGAGTCAGAAGTGGAAACGGCATGGCGAAACAACTGAGGAAAAAGAATATTCCATCCCCGGCGTCGGCTTCATCTTCGGACGACGACGATCTTCCTCCTGAGGTCGGCTTCACTTCGGCGGAGGGAGAGATCCGTGAGGGCCCGGGCGTCGAGGAGGTGGCCCCTTCGTCCGACCCATCTGTGTTGAAGGACGAAGATTTAAGATGGATCCGGATGGCGGAGCAACTGGCAACCCTAAAAACCGTCATCACAGAGTTGTGTGACCTTGTCACGCCAAGGGCGGCGTTGGAAGGTGATGGTGGTGATCGGCAGGAGCCCGGGTCGTCTTCGATGGCGCCGCCATCGGCCACGCGGCGTGAAGACGCCATCTTGGGCCAGGCGCACCACGGAAGGCGGGAAGCCGCCATTTTGGGGCCGCCGCGAGGATCGTCCGCCATTTTGGCGACACAGCGTTTGCGACGCCTTGCTGAACTTACCGCCGGAAGAGTCAGCGACGGACGGAAGCAAGCCAAGGAGTCGCAGTCGTCACCTTACAACCGTCAAAGAGTTCTCCATCGGGGGCGATTGGAGTGCGTTCGCCTGCAGATTTTTGGCGGCGGTACGTATGGCAAGGTGGACGGACGCTGAGGCACTGGAGGTGCTCCCGACTCTTCTTGATGATGAGTCCGTTCGTTTTTTTCGCTCTATAAAAGCTGCGAAGAAGAAAACTCTGCGAGGGGTGTTCGAGGAAATGGCGGACGCGTACGAGCCACCGGATGACGCCCATCGCCGATTCGTGCAGCGGCAACGCGCACCTGAGGAGTCACCTGTAGCGTACAGGGGCGCCGTGTTGGAACTCGCTATGGCCGCTTACCCGGAGACGGAGCCTGACCTGCTGGAACCACTCATCTTGGGGAAGATGTTGGAGTTGTCCCGAGATCTCGGCATTCCCATGCAGGCGTGCGGTCACGAAAAACTCACGTCCCGGACCGCGGCCAAGTGTTTGGACGCCCAGTTCAATCTCCGCCGCTGGAAACAGGTGACGGCGTGGACGGGCGGTCCTGTCGTCGATGGGGGGGCCGTAGGGTGGGACCCTACGAAGGCCGTGTACGTGCCGGATGCGACCGGCCCAAAGGAGTTGTCGGACCGCCTCCACTCCGTGGCCGGCTCGAAGCGGGCCAGGGCCGCGGGCTCCGCCGCCGGCGCGGCCGCGTCGGGACGGGGTGCCCGCTGCGCGCCGCCCCGACGTCGACTGCTTCCGCTGCGGCCGTCGGGGCCACTATGCCAGGGACTGCTGGGCCCGGGTTCCGGGGCCGCCCCAGCAGGAGGCCTCGACAGCGGACGCCCCAAAGAAAGACCCTCCGGCACAGGCAAGTCGGTGCGCACCAGACACCCGGCAAGGCCTGACACCTCACTCATCGCCGTTGTTATGCGACGCGGATGTTGTAAAATACGGGAGGCCAGTATCTGAGCCTTGTCGCTCGATAACGCAGTGGCGTAAGCTGGCTCGGCGGGTTGTCGCGGCCGCTACCGGTTCGTCCACTGTACCTGGGTCCATCCAAGGGGTGGACGTACGTATTTTGGTGGATTCCGGTGCGTCCGCGACCATTATTTCGGATGTGATATTCCATCTTTTGAACATCCCACCGGGGGCCGTGAGGCCGGCTTACGCTTCCTGCATCGCTGCGAACGGGGGTAGTATGGGCATCGTGGGACAGGTGGACGCTAACATTTCTATCGGGGGTGTCTCGGCCTCGGGCGTTGTGTTGATTTCGAGGTCCCTGGCGGTTCCTTGCCTGTTGGGTACGGATTTTTTGGCTACGATGCCCATTCTAATTAGAATCAATGAAAATTGCATAGAACTACCGGGGGGCCGGAAATTGGAATTTTTACAGTCCGCCTGGGGGCGACCGGCTCCTGTCGCCCAGGTGCAGGCGCTATCGGAAGTTTCGGTTGATATTCCACCTGGCTCTCAGATGCTCATTCCCTTACGATACCGGAAGCCGGTTCCGGGTCGGCAGGGTGCTTTTGGGATTTTGCTGTCGCCGTCCGCCGCGGTTACGGGCGGCTTAGCGCTGGTAGGGGCGCAAACTATTGTCCGTCCAGATCAGCGCCCGTTTTTGCAGGTGTTAAATGCGAGTGCTGAAAGCGTGTGTGTGCCAGCTGGTACCGTTGTGGCACATGCCACTACGGCGTTTACGGCCCAGAGTGACCTGCCGGACGGGGGGCTTGTGGGTGGTGTTTCACACGATGGAGGGGTTGATGATCGTTGGATCGCCGAATTATGTGGGGAAAATTCGGCCCTTTCCACCGAGCAGCGTTGTGCGATTCATAAATTATTATCGAGCTATTCCGATGTGTTTAGCTCGGACGATTTGGACTTGGGACGCACCTCGCTTCTCTCTCATCATATCGACACGGGGGACGCTGCCCCTATCCGGTTGAACTCGCGTCGGATGAGTCCGGCTGAGCGTGAGCATGTTCGAGGGGCAGTGGAAGACATGTTGAAAGCGGATATTATATCTCCGTCTAATAGCCCATGGGGCGCGCCTGTTGTGTTGGTTAAAAAGAAGGATGGTAAATTGCGATTTTGTGTGGATTTTCGGAAGCTGAATAAAGTGTCGGTGGCAGATGCGTATCCCCTGCCGCGTATGGACGATTCTCTCGACGCCTTGTCAGGGGCTAAGTTTTTTTCAACGCTAGATCTCTCTTCGGGCTTCTGGCAGCTCCCCCTTGACGAGCCCTCGCGAGAAAAGACAGCTTTCCGTACGCCGCAGGGGTTATTCCAATTTAACTGTCTTCCGATGGGGTTTAATGCTGCCCCTGCCACGTTTCAGAGGTTGATGGAGTTGGTGTTGACGGGGTTGCAGTGGGAGACATGTCTCATTTATTTAGATGATATTATAGTCTTCAGCCGCACATTTGATGAGCATTTACTGCGGTTGGAGGCTGTATTCGCCAGAATGCGTTCTGCTAAATTGAAATTCAAGCCTAAGAAATGTCATTTACTGCAACGCTCCGTTCGATACTTGGGACATATTGTTAGTGCGGACGGGGTGGCCACGGATCCAGAGAAAACTGCTTGTGTCCGGGATTGGGCAACCCCGGCCACGGTGGGTGATGTGCGTCGGTTTTTGGGGTTCGCCTCATATTATCGGAGGTTTGTTCCGAATTTCGCTACTATCGCCAGGCCTTTGCATCTCCTTACTGGGAAGGGGCATAAATTTGTGTGGGGACCGCCGGAGGAGGCGGCGTTTCGGAGCCTGCGCGATTTACTGGCTACTGCGCCGACGTTGGATTATCCGGATTTTGAACATCCTTCATTCTGGATACTGATGCGAGTGACACTGGTATTGGGGCGGTGTTGTCCCAGTCAAAAGGTGGTGTTGAGCGTGTGGTGGCGTATGGGAGTCGGGTTTTATCTCCCGCGGAAACCCGTTACTGCGTCACTCGCAGGGAACTTTTGGCTATTGTGTTTTTTCTCCGACAATTTCGACCGTATCTGTACGGTCGGTCGTTTATTGTCCGCACGGACCATGCGGCCTTGCAGTACGCTCTTAAGATGGACCAGCCATCCGGACAATTGGCGAGATGGCTGGACACGTTGCAAGAATTCTCCTTCCAAATTCACCATCGGAAGGGTGTGCGTCACGCTAACGCGGACGCACTGTCCAGGTTGCCGCAACGATCCCCTTGTGCGTGTGCGTCAGGGGACGCATAGGTGTGGACCGACTCAGCCCCCCCCTCAGCCGTGTCGCGCTGGCAGTGGATGTTCCCGAAACTCCGCTTACACCGGGACCGGTTGATGGGGGACCGGCTGACGGGGTTTTGCGTCTTCCAAGGTCTGTGTGGATTCGGGAGCAAATGTTGGACGAATCTTTGGTGTCGTTGCGAAAACGAACGGAGAAGGCGGGTAAGGAAGTCGGTGCGGGTGGTATTTCGGAAACTGCTCTCCGAGATGGGTTACTGATGTGGAGGGAAGGGATACAGGAACACTGGCGTCTCGTTGTGCCTGCGTCATTGCGGTATGAGTTGATTAGATCTTTGCACTGTGACACACTTTTACACCTGGGGGTGCAGAAAACCCTATTGACGCTGCAACGAGACTATTATTGGCACGGCATGACGACGGATGTCGTCGGTCACGTTCGCGCGTGTCCCGATTGCGCCCGCCGTAAACCACCTAAACATCCATATGTTCCGCCGATACAATCGATTAAAGTATCTCGGGTTAATGAGCTGGTGGCGTTAGATATTTTGGGACCCTTTCCGCCATCCGCTAAGGGAAATAAGTATTTACTGGTGGGGGTTGAGTACCTCTCTCGCTGGCCGATGGCCTGGCCTTTGCCTGACCAGTCAGCGGCGTCTATCACTGACGCCTTTCTATTTGGGTATGTAATGGACAAAGGGGCGCCGGAGAGGCTCCTTACGGATCAAGGACGTAACTTTTCGTCCAAATTGTTGGGGGAGGTGTGTGCGGCTCTTGGAACTAAAAAGATACGGACGTCCCCCTACCACCCGCAAACGGATGGTATGGTGGAACGGTTGAATCGGACTCTGTCCGCCATGCTGTGCCATACAGTCGGGGAAAATCAATCTGATTGGGATTTGCATATCCCTGGGGTGCTTTCGGCGTATCGCATGACGCCGCACGCGGCTACTGGATACTCGCCGTTCTTCCTTATGTACGGCCGTGAGAATGTGCCGCCGATTAATGAACAGTTGGGAACCGGCGCGAGGGGGCCTGTTAAGCCTCTTCCTGAGTATATTAAGGACAACGTTCGGCGTGTCGCTGAGGCGAGGGAAAGTGCCCGCATGGCTACTGCCAAGGCTCAGGCCAGGAATGAGCGGTGTGCCCGACGATCAAAGGGGGAGTGCCCCTGAAAAAAGGGGGACCTGGCCTGGCTTCATTGCCCACAGGTGCGGCCAGGTACCTCTCCTAAATTACATAGACCTTGGCAGGGTCCGGTCCGCCTCATTGAGGTTCCCAACCCACAGTCGGCGCGTGTTCAGGTTGGTTCACGGCGCTGGTTCGTGCATACATCCCGGTTGAAGCCATACATTGCCCCGCGGCCGGATGCGTCATCTCCCGAAGTTGCCTTGCCGGGGTCTGTTGCTGCCGACTCGCCCTTGCCTGTGTCTGCTGACCTTGCGAGAGCGCCTGTCGTACCCTTCACAGACAAGCCGGCCGTGACAGCGCAGGGGGGAGGACGTTCCGCTCGTGGGACGTCGACTGGAGCCGCAGAACCCACGGGACCTGCAGCTCTTCCTATCCCTCCGCGGACGCGAGTACGGGATGTCTCTGGACGCGAGCGGGACAGTGGCGGGCCTCCAATGGCGACGGAAGAACTTGCGCCCGTCGCCCCTAAAACCCTTCCACGTTCCCGCTCGGCGGGTGGTCTGCCGACCGTCCGGGACGGCCCGGCTGCCCGTACTCGCTCGAAATCCCTCACGTTTCGTTAGATTGTGTTGTGTTGTGTTCTGGTTATATTGTTGTTGCATGCTTCGTGTCTTTTTACGTGTTGGCCCTTTACACCCGCATTTCTTGTCAGGTTGCAATTCAGCCGAGGTCGGCTGGATTTTCTTTATGGGGGAGGGTGATGTAATGCGGGCGTAAACGGCCCTCCGGAGGTGACGTCAGGAGGGGAGGAGTTAGGTCACGTGGGGGGGTGAGGGGTTAGGCTACAGAAGGAGGGGAACCGGAAGAGGACGGGGAGTGACGGGGAACCAGGAACAGAGAGACGCCACGAAGGGCGAAGCGGAGGGTGGCGAGATCGCCACGAACACGGGGGAGCGAGGATCGGCACCGTTGGCCAGCGGTGACCGACCCGAAGCAGCGAGGAGGCTGCAGTCAGCAGCGGGGCTGCATACAGAGTCAGCAGCGGGTCTGCATACGGTAGCAGCCAGAGGGTCTGCACATAGGGGTAGCAGCGGGAGTCTGCATAGAGGTAGCAGCGAGTCTGCAGGGAGGAGGTTACAGTAGATGAAGCAGAGAGTCAGAGGGAAGAAGGAGCTATAATAGCAGTGAATAGCCGGGGGCTACAAATACAGAGTTATAACAGAGTGCCGTGTGGGTGAGGACGAGAACCCAATAAAAGACACGAAGACAGAAGGAAGTGTCCGAGTCCTTTTATTACAGTAGTATAGTGTATTGTAGTGTATAGTAGTGTACTGTATAGTTGTGTAGTGTATAGTGTAGTGTGTAGTGTATAGCAGTGTAGTGTATAGTAGTGTAGTGTATATAGTAGTGTATAGTGTAGTGTATAGTGTAGTGTATAGTAGTGTAGTGTATAGTAGTGTAGTGTATATAGTAGTGTATAGTGTAGTGTATAGTAGTGTAGTGTATAGTAGTGTAGTATATAGTAGTGTAGTGTCTAGTAATATAGTGTAGTGTATAGTAGTGTAGTATACAGTGTAGTGTACAGTGTAGTGTATAGTGTAATTGATGACATTGGTACATCGGATCAGTTGGGACAGTGTTGGCCGGCTACGTGTCATGTTCATCGATTACAACGAGTTTCAATGCAGCCTCAATGTCATTGATTGACAACCGCCTTTGCAGATCGATAGGCACTGCCATGGCACCTGCTTTGCATTGTGTCATTGTAATTCAGTGGCACTGGTGTTTTGGCAGTACAGCAAGTGGGCCCGTGAATCCATGTACGTAATGTGATTTATTCCTGAATTGATCTTTCATTGTTTTTCTTTTATCCAAATGATTGGTGTTGCAGAATCAAGAAATTTGATTATACTCAGCCTGAGGACTTTGAAGACGACGGTGAGTAGAATGTGAGGTATCTATACATATGATGGTTATGGGCAGACGACGTGGTGGACAGTAGTGATGGTTATGATTGTAATTATGGTCGTTGACTCGTTGGCTTATTTAAATGATTAGAAGTCATATTTCATTACCAAAGTTAAATCGCATTAGATGCATCCGCAAGGGAGCTGCCGTGGCTAGCGCGGTGGGCTTGCAATCCAGAAGCCGCTGGTTCAATTCCATATCCCGACGTGGCAAGTTTCTTAAATCCCCTCCCCACCTCTCTTCCACCCAGCGGTGTCGATGAGTTCACGCACTTGGTCGTGCGTGGTCGAGGAGGCGCTTTGCCGCCTCTACCAATGTGTCTGCGCAGCGTGGGAGAGTAGGCAATTTCCTCTTTTCAGCTCCCTCTTGTGGAGGCCCTCTGCACCGGTAGTAAAATCTCACCGTAAACTATTGCCAATTCCCGACTTTCATAACCGCCATTTGATTCCGAAAATGGTTATCGGTTTAACCAACCCAGCGATGTACGCGCGTCAATGTGTGTGCGTGTTGCATCGCCACAGACGGCGACTTCTCATCGGCCTCTCTTCCGCCAAGCAAAATGTCTCAAGCGGTGACCAATTCTGACGATGAAAATGGCGACAAGGCAAAGCCTGCAAAGAAGGCCTTGAGCGGAACCAAGAAGTCCCGTCAAGTCACGGCCTTGAACACAGCAGCAGGAACAGCAAGAGACGGAAGGTAATACTATACACTACACTGTACACTACTATACACTACACTAATATACACTACACTATACACTACTCTACTATACACTACACTACTATACACTACACTATACACTACACTGTACACTACTAGACACTACACTACTATACACTACACTATACACTACACTACTATACACTACACTATACGCTACACTATACACTACACTACTATACACTACACTATACACTACTAGACACTACACTATACACTACTCTACACTATACTACACACTACACTATACTACACACTACTCTACACTATACAATACACTGTACACTACTATACACTACACTATACACTACTCTACACTATACACTACTATACACTACACTGAATAATACTCTACACGACACTATACTACTATGCACCACTACTGTACACTACACACTACTCTACATTATACTATAACCTACTCTACACTACACACTACTGTACACTACACTATTATACACTACACTACTGTACACTACACTATACTGCTGTACACTACACTACTGTACACTACACTATACTGCTATACACTACACACTACTACATTACTATTATTGTGCCGTTACATCATGACAAGATGTAAATGCGTGTCCCTTAGAGACGCTCACCAGATGGAGTGCATCACCTCGTCATTGTTTTACAAGTCAGCGTTGTTTGTATTGTTTCTGTTGCATCTCATGGATTCGCAGTTGCTTCCGACAGCCACTGCAATGGTAACGAAAGAACAGATTCTTGAGCCGAATTGCAATCCAAATCATGGCAATTCATGAAACCATCAGGAGGGAAATTCCTTCCATGCCTAGTTTGGATTCACTCCTTCCAGCTGCTCCATCATGTTATGTAGCAACCTCTTATTTATAACATTACTAGCGGTAAGTACCCGGCGTTGCCCGGGCGTAAAAGGCAGACACACATGTAGACTTACACACAGACATCGACCTACACACATAGAAACACATCGACTTAGATGCACACACACATATGGTTAAGTGCAGGATGTATCGTTAGCAGGCCAGCCTAAATGTTTGTAACCAGCGAAGATGTTCCATTAGGGGGGTGCATGTTTTGCAAGCGTAGAGAAGGGAGGGAATTACCGTGGCTGAAAAGACCTGGTGCTTCATGCGGAGCGAGAGACCAGGTTGCTTCCACACAGCGTAACGCAGCCGATGAAAAGATAATGGCGCCCGACTAATTTGGAGTGAGACCTCTGCTGTCAAACTGGAGCCGGTCATGAGCACACTGGCCAGGTATGGGAATCTCTCCAACTCTCCACAACTGCCGCATCACCAATTGTAAGTTGTGGGGCTGGATTGTTCGATGGTATAAAATACCCAGGCAGATGGTTAGTTTTGGTGGGGCTGATGGTGAGGCCCCACCTCTTCGTGACAAGCTCCAGGTTCAGCAGCAGTGAGCAGCAATCACCAGAGCATCGGCATACATAACATGGTTGAGCAATAGGGAGGCATCCCTTGACCGCACCCGGGCGTCGATCAGCCTCTTATTGTATCTGTACCATATGGTAATTCCACCGGTATAGGTCACTGAAGGCTTCACGAACTACGTGGTCAAAAGATATGTAAAATAATGTGGGAGCCAGAGGACATCCCTGTCACACCCCAAGGTGTAGAGGGAATGGCTCTGACTGACGGCCACGTAGTTTGACGTGGGGCCGCTCACCATCATGAAGGTCCTAAGGATCGTGAGCAAAGGGTGAGGGACTCCGAAAGCACGAAGAACAACCCAGAGGCCAGGCCTACTGATGGTATCATAGGCCTTGAGCAGGTCAATAAACCACATACATTCACTCGCACGCACACATGGACCTACAGACACGCAAAGAAATGGACTTACACTTACTCACAAGGAGCAACGCACACAAAGCGACTAACACACACGCACATGGGCTGAGACGCACACATATATCGACTCACACAAACACATCGACTTACACACATATATGGACTCACACACACTTGACATACACACGTGGAGTTACACAGACATATCGACGTACACACATACAGGGACTCACACACACACATACACACCGACTCACACACAGACATACGTGGACTGACACACACACATTGACGTAAACACACATTTAAAGTTCAAGTTCATTTATTAGGTATAGCCCTGTGAGCCATTCGGCTCTTGAATTGGGTGTACTTACACACACACACACATATGGACTAAGACACACACACATGGACTGACGCACACATACATATGGACTCACACACGCATAGACATCCACTTTAGATACACCCACATGGAGTTACACACACATATATGGACGTACACACATACAGCGACTCAGACACACACACATGGAATCACACACAGACATACGTGCACTAACACACACATTGACATAAACAAAGATCCCCCGTATAGCCTTAACAGACTGTAGGGGCAAGTGCTGTTAGCGAGCACCTATGAAGGCCGGAACGGTACATGAGGGGGTAGGTGGCCAGCACCACGCCCGACCGCCTTTGTCTCCCCAGTGGCGATGTTTACACACCGCACCAGGTACTCATTTAAGGCTGAGTCGACCTAGGGGAGGCCCAGGACCGGTTCAGATAATCGTCACTGGTGTTAGCCGTGAGCGGGAATCGAACCCGGGTCGCCAGGTTCATAGCGCAGCGCGCTAACCGCTACACTACCGCTCCCCACACACATGTACTTACACACACATGTACTTACACACACATGTACTTACACACACATGTACTTACACACACATGTACTTACACACATACATAGACTGACACACACATGGATTAACACACACATGTCGACTCACACACGCGCACTGACTTACACACACACATCGAGTGAGACACACACACATGTATGGACTTACACACACATGTGGACTTACACACACACACATATGGACTAACACACACATACACATCGACTGACACACATAGACACACGAATACACATACACACTCAGATGGAGCCATGCACACACATCGACTAACACACACACACATGGACTAACACACACACACATGGACTAACACACACACAGCTACTGATACGCACACAAATGGACTTACACGCACACTTGGACTGACACACACACACAAACACTTTGACGTACACACACACATCGGGCGTTGTCCGTTCGAAAAAGACAGACATGGAGTTAAAGACACGCATGGCTCTACACGCACAAACATATGGACTCAAAGACACACACGTGGACTCATACACACACATCGATGGGCACAACAATCCCCGATGATGGCACAGCTATCAGTATCGCAGTACTACGTATGAGTAAATAGCGTGACGTGAGCGATGGAAACAATAGAGATGCATTTAAGAAATAAGCAGAGATAAGTGTAAATGAAAGATAAACAATGAACCAGAGTTGGTATGTGCACACAAAGATATATATATAGTAATATCTGGCAACGTATTTGTTTCATAATATTAAGCAATGAAGCATATTTTTTATCAGCACACAAACATTATTATTGTAATGTTTGTAAACTAATGTGTTTAACAATAGTAAACAATGGACTTGAGTTGTTAGCGTAAGAAGCAAGGAACTCTGTACTTAGCATAGGCGTGTTGAGGCCTTGTGCCATGCTTAGCCCCCGTCCTGGCCTACATTGGCGAGGCGGCGGAGTTGGCACGTTGCCAGGCTAGGGGCTGGGCCGCTACCCCCCCCCCCCAGCATCCCCCGCCCGTGCAAGAATAATGGTATGTAAGCAGTAAAATATTATTATCTACGGAGTCTGTAGTATAAAGTGGACGCATCGTGTTGGGGGGGGGCGAAGAGGACATGACACTGTGAAGAAATGTCCGCAGAGTTACGTATGTACGTCTTGCCTGCTGTAAAACGCGTAAAAGGAAATGAGCTCGTGCGAACGCGCATCACTTGGCAGTGTCTACCCCCCCCCCCCCACGCAATTGGCGTCAGTTGGTACGGTCGATGTCGAGCAATAAGTAAGTCATTAATAATAGAAACCGCACAAATGTGTTAATTAAACAACTTTAAACTTTACGGATGGGGAAACGGAATAGCCTATTCCCACCGCGGGGCTTAGGGCGTGCCGCCTGCCAATTTTATTTCTACGTGAAGCCCACCGTCCGAGAGCCAAATCCCCCGCAAGCGCGCGGAGACTCTTATATATAAGAAGAAAAGAAGATTGCACTGCCCACACCAACCTCTGTGCATTGTCGTCGTTTGCAATCGCACTTTGCGCCACTCTGCGCAGACCGTCCCTGGACGACGAGCGTCTCTTTGAGAGGGAGCTCAAGGAGGTCCTTGCCCTCGCTGGTGATCAGACGGAAGTGGCGGCGTCTTCGCGGGAGAGTTCACAGGAAGCCGTGGGCAGTGCCACCGTCAACACGGACGACCCACCCGGTATGAGACTCTACAGATTTGTGGCTTTCTGTATGTTTGCACGCGTGTGGACATGTATGGTGCTCACTGCCAACACCAGTAACGATTATATGAACCAGTCCTGGGCCTCTCCGAGGTCGACTCAGCCTCAAATGAGTACCTGGTGCAATTCCAGGCGTGGTGCTGGCCATCCACCCCCATGTATGCCGTGCCGACCTTCATACGTGCTCGCTCACGGCAGCTGCCACAACAGCCTCTGAATGGCTGCACGGGGAATCTATGTGTTTGTACGGTGGCTAGGAGATGTTTCACTTCCTCGTCTGGTGTACAGAAGGTCGTGCGTTCGATCCCGACCCTGACGCCTGCTGCTGTATATTTGGAGTTTGCGTCTCTCTCTCATCATCATCACGGTGGCGAGGAGATGTTTAACTTCCTCGTCTGGTGTACAGGAGGTCGTGCGTTCGATCCCGACCCTGACGCCTGCTGCTGTATATTTGGAGTTTGCGTGTCTCTCCCCGTGGTCACGTGGATTTTTCTCCGGGTCCTCCAGTTTTCCCTCCACATTTAGAATATTTCGCCGCGATACATCTCCACGTGATAATTGGCCACTTTCTTGAGCTACCATTTGTGATAGCCAAGTCGCTTCTGAAGAAGAGACGTATGGCTCAGTGGGCCTTACCTGATGACACAAAGTTGTTTAGTTTTGCATGGCAGTGCCAGGCCACTGAGGATGCTGATGTGTTGCCCTCTGTTCAAACCACATAAGTCTGCATCTTCTGCACCAAAGTCTCCTGCTGGCTTTTTCCTAAATCGTATCGTATTCTTTATTGATTTTTCAAAGTCGAGATAAAATCTTGATTTGAAGCTTCAGTTGACTCTGTAGCACTATTACTACGACTGTATTGTTCCCAAAAAAAAATTTTCAATAGTAATATTTGGCAAACATTCAATATGTGCCATGACCACATTGGAATACTTGCTTTTATTTGGTAAAGTAATTCTGACCGATCAGAAATATGAAACAACAGTGTCCACAATGCAGCGACCACGACGACGACGGGTAATCACATGTTGTCTAAAACACGACAGACAACGAGACGGGCGAGTCCTCGGAGTCCGCTGGGAAGTCCGACAGCGATGACAGCGACCACAAGAAACCCTCCTGGAAGTTTAAGGTGCCCAGGGTCACCGCCGCCGCCGACAGGAGAGGGAGCAAAGCCGCCGTGGCCAGGGGCAGCAGAACAACAGGCGCGGCGCGTGGAGCCGGGGCGGATGTCGGGCCAGATCCTGCCCCTCGGCAATCAGCGAAGCGCCTCCCCCCGCCCGCGTTCAACGAAGCCGGCGTCGCGGATCGTGCCACCGCATCGCCTCTACCCAAGTGGGTTCCTCCAGGTAAGGACAAAGCATCGAAACCACGGCCGGCACAAGCGCACGTGTTTCTAACTCGCACGCCTTTCACGTTTTCCCACGATGAAACCATCCATGGATGTGCCTCACCTCCACTGGGTCTGTCTAGGAAGCTAAGCAGGGATTTGAGCCTGCTAAGTACAATCTTAATTTGGAGCTTTCGTGACTGCAGGAATGACTCTTTGGTTCTTTCGGTAAAGTCACGTATAAAGAGAAAGTAATAAATTAAATACTAGCATACGACGTTTCGATTGCAACACAAGCAATCATCATCAGGAATAAATGAAATAGAAACACAAATCTAGTATACTTAGAAATGGAATGTAATACAACAGAGAGTCGGATAACATAACAGTCTACACCCTACCTGGTTGATTATGTTCTTCCTGAGAATACTACATTTGAGAGAGAGAGATAAAAACACAGAACCAGAAACATATAGACAGACATATAAGCAGACAGATATCACAGAGATACATAGAGAGAGGGAACAAACATAGGCACACAGAGAAAGCAACGTCTCTGTATCGAGGCCTTGATGAGTGATGACCACCGTAGCTCTCCGGGTGATGTAGGTGTGAGAGCGCGAGATGGTCTGCACCTGGCAGTGCCGAGTGTTGCTACCTCGCCGTGAGCGACACTCACGGCGGAGTGGGAACACGTCCACTTGCGGGGTCGACGGAGCGAGGATATCCGAGTGTGTGTGCTAGATTCATTGTTGTGCGAGCGTGAGGGATGGCGGCAGCTTCGGAGAGGCCTTCATCTCGCAGTGGATAGAGCATGTCTGAGTGTGTGTATGCGGAATGCTAATGGAGCAGACAAAACTCTTCAAAGTGTAGGGATGTTGGAGAGAGGGCCGTTATGCATGGCAGCCTATGGGAAAGAAACACAGTGGGCGGGGCTACGTGTGTGCACAGGGAGATGCCCTCTGCGACGTCCGAGCCAGACACCCTGGGGGGGGGCTGGTTCGGCGTTACGATCCCCCGGGGCCCCACCCCTCAAGGAGGGTTGGGTATAAAAAGGGGTCGTTATATGGGCTTAGTCAGTTATGTTATAGTTAAGCTAAGAAGTCGGAAGACGTCGTAGCTAGAGCCCTGGACTCCCCCTGATCGCCGCCCTTATCAGGGCCCCACGGGATCAGGCTCGAGCCAGTGGCGTGGTCCCGTGAACCAGAGCCAGTGCTCTGGGACTCCGGGTACCGAGCCCGATTACCAGTGTCGGGCCAGACAGCCTCCCCTAGCTCTTAGTGGAGGACTCAGGGGATAGGCTATGGATAGCTAGGGGTATTCCCTGAGTTATACGGGTGAGGGGGCCGCTACCCCCTCTAGGGCTGTCCTGTACTGGCAACTTGTTAAATAAATATACGTGTGCCTCAACTCCGTTGTCAAGCGTCCTCGACGGGTACTTCATCTGGCGTCAGAAGTGGTAAAAATGGAAACGCGCCATACAGCTCGGACCAGGGTACCACAAGAGGAGGACGCCGCGGAGATCGCCGAGCCCGAGACAGAGCAACAAGATGGGGTGCAGCCGGAGCCTGGCGCCTTCTCACCGGGACGTCAGCATGGAGAGGGGCCGCAGCCAGATGCACTACGACTGGCTCACGAACGGCTGGCGGAGCTACTTTATGCCGCTGCCGCCACACTGGAAGGCATTACGCGGTTGGGGGCTGGTGGTCCACCGCAGGGCGAGGAGAACCGGCGGCCGGAGCACTTTCCCGCCATTTCAGCGACTTCACAATTTGAATTTCCCGCCATGGACGCCGCGGCTGTTCGGGGCGTGGCCAGCTTAGACATCGGCTCCGACATCGCCGTCGCCGGGGCTGCAGCGTCATCGCAGCCGAAGGATGCGTCATCGCTGCCGCGACAGGCGATGCCATCGGCCAGTCGCGCCGAGGCACCGCCAAAGGGAGGTGAAAGCAACCTGCGGGAGTCCACATCGACCGCTGCGCTTCACCAAAGGCTGCCCCCGCTGAAGGAATTCATCGGTGCGGAGGGTGACTGGGGCGGCTTCCGGCGACGCTTCCTCGCCCATCAGGAGATGGCGCGGTGGTCCGACGAGGAGGCCCTTTGCGCGCTGCCGGCGCTCCTCGATGGGGACGCGCTCGCCGCACTCACGTCGGCGCCAAAAGAGAAGCGGGCTACACTACCAATGGCGCTACAGCTGCTGGCCGGGGTCTATGGACCTTCAGCCGAATGCCGTCAGCAGTTCTACGATCGCAGGCGGGGTGAAAAAGAGTCGCCTCTGGCTTTCCGGACAAGTCTTCTGGCGCTGGCAAAAACAGCCTTTCCCCGCATGGACGACGACGGCGTGGACGCAATGGTCGCGGAGAAGATCCTCCTCTTGGCGGACGACCTCGACATCGTCGTCATCGCACAAGGGGATGCAGAAATGACCTCCCTCCAGGCTGCGCGACTCCTCCACGCCAACCTTCTGCAGCAGCGGCGAAAGGCAAACAGGGCATCGGCTGGGCGTGCGGTGGCTGCAGCCACCCTTCCGTCAGAAGAACTTTATGCCGTCGACCATCGACGGCAACAGACGACGGGGGCGCGGCCGGGTCGGGACGGGCCGAGGCGTTTCGACCGTCCATCGTCTCCATCGGCGCTCCCGCGGTGCTTCAACTGCGGCATCCGGGGCCATGTCGCCTCGGGGTGCCGTTCTCCTCGACAGCGGGGGACGACGCCTCGACAGGACGCCGGCCCTCCTCTTCCTCCTCCCAAGCTCCAGCACCATGATCCGGCGAGTCGCGGCACCTCACATGTTTGGCCAACGCACCCACCTGTCGCACACTCTCGCACCGTAACGAACGGGGGGCCGGTGGGGCGCTGCGATGGACCGGCGCGGATCACTGCGGGGACTCAAATCGAGCCCGAGCGGTGGTCCGTGTTGGCCCATCGCGTGGTGGCCGCGGCGTCGGGATCGTCGGCCGTGGTCGGTTACATTGATGGGGTGGAGGTACGCATCATAGTCGATACAGGGGCATCGGCGACAATTATTTCGGAACTAATTTACAATATTCTACCGGTGCAGAGCCGTCCTTTGCTACCGGTTAATGTCCCTTTCTATGCCGCTAACGGGGGCTCTCTCGGCATCGTGGGACAGATTCGAGCGCAAATTTCTATCGGGGACATCAAATTGTCGGGGCCGATTTTTGTCTCCTCCTCACTGGCAGTTCCGTGCCTGCTGGGGACGGACTTCTTGGGCAGGATGCCAATTCGTATTTTGATCGACCAAGGATGCATTGAGCTTCCGTCGGGGCGACGTATGGCGTTCCTGCCTTCCCCTGTAGCGACTCGGACGGCGTTCGCGACGGTACCGGCGTTCGTCGTAAAAACAGTGCGTGTGCCGCCGGGGGCACAAATGCTGGTACCTCTTAAACTTCGTAGGCCCTTCGCTAAGGGTGTTGGGGATCAGGGTGTTGTGCTGGGGCCGTCTAGGGCCGGGGTTAATGGGCCTCATTTAATTCCGGCCCAGACCATCGTAAGGGGGGACGAGGATCCCTTCATCGCGGTCCTCAATGTCGGGTCGCAGACAGTAGTGGTTCCCCAAGGGACTGTGCTCGCTCACGCGACGCCGGTGCCCTGCGAGGAACCTGCCGTGAACCACATTGACACTGCTGCTCGGACGCACCCGCATTCGGACGGCGATGAAGGGTGGCTCGACGCGCTTTGTGCGGGATCGACGAACCTGTCCAATTTAGAGCGCCAACGGCTTAGATCGCTGCTAAAGGAATTTTCCGACGTTTTCAGTCGGAATAAATACGATTTGGGTTGTACTCACCTGCTGCGTCACCATATTGACACGGGTGACAGCGCGCCTATTCGCCAAAATCCTTTTCGGTTGAGTCCCGCCGAAAAGGACCATGTCAAATCGGCTGTCGATGACATGTTAGCCGCCGACATTATCTCTCCCTCTACCAGCCCTTGGGGAGCACCGATTGTCCTGGTTAAGAAACAGGATGGCTCGTTGCGGTTTTGCGTAGATTTCCGTCGCCTTAATAAGGTTTCGGTTGCCGACGCATACCCGCTCCCACGGATGGACGAATCGCTGGACGCCTTGGCGGGAGCGCGATTCTTCTCCACACTAGATTTACTTTCGGGATTCTGGCAGCTTCCTCTGGACGATGATTCGAAGCCTAAAACCGCTTTCCGTACACCGCACGGCCTGTTCCAATTCAACCGGTTGCCGATGGGCTTACACTCAGCGCCGGCAACCTTCCAGCGGTTGATGGAATTGGTTTTGGCTGGATTGCAATGGGAATCGTGCCTGATTTATTTGGATGACGTAATTGTTTTTGGAAGAACCTTTGACGAACATCTCCAGAGGATGCGGGCGGTTTTCCAAAGGATGCGGGCTGCTAATTTGAAATTTAAGCCCCAAAAATGCTATTTGTTTCGCGAGTCAGTGCGTTATTTGGGGCACATCGTGGGGCGCTCGGGTATTGCTACCGATCCCGCCAAAACGCAGTGTGTCAGCTCCTGGCCAATTCCGACCTCGGTGGGGGAGGTGAGGAGTTTTATTGGCTTCGCTTCATATTACGGATCACCACAGATCACCACGGACCACCACAGCCCGCCACAGATCACCACAGATCACCATGGACCACCACAGCCCGCCACAGCCACCAGCCACTGACTCTTTCAACATGCCATGACATGTCCCAGTCAGCCACTAAGCCATTCCACTTGCCACGGTCTGCGAGTGATACATTCCAAACTCTGAGCACTACCACGGTTTGCCACTGAACCATGGCCTTGTCTGGGACAAGCACTTACCCATTCAACCGCCAAGGGCTACTACCACTGACAGCCCAAGTGCAACTCAACTTGCCATTACTCAACGTATACAAGACCCGCCATGCCTCAATAGGTGCGGTCTGCTGTAAGCCGACCTGACTTGCCACCGTAGAGATTGCCGCAGCCCGCTGTGAGGTGACTGCTCGCTGCCTGCAGCCACGGCCTAAAGCATGGCTGCTAGACTGACTTGAACCACCGCCGAAGACAACCTCAGCTGCCGTGGCTGAAATCTGAGGCACAGTTTAACAGTGAAAGCCCTTTATTCCAATTCAATAGCACGTTTTTTGTTAGCACATGGATGAAAATCATCTGAATAACTTAGTTTTAATGCTTTTCGTTAGAGTCTGTAGAGCAGTTTCGTTCTGCATTTAGTTTATTGTTATATAGCACGAGTGTTTGGTGTAAACTTTAACGCAAGACTGGTTATAATTCTGTATGACTTCACGAGATATTGGCCGGACTAGAAATGTTTTCATCCTGGCCTCACTGCACAACTCTCAACCCATTGTCCTGAAATTTAAAGACGTGGCCCAAAATTCAAACGGCTGTTATCTTTCGATTAAAAGCTTTCGTGACTGCAGGGATTCATCTTCTTGGTTCTTTCGGTAAAGTCACGTAGAATGGAAATAATAAAATAATAAAAATTAAACAATACAATTCTCACGACGTTTTGGCCACAACGCAAGCAGAAGAACAGGTGAAGAACAGGTCTGTCGGAAAGACAGACGCTGTCTTTCCGACAGACCTGTTCTTCTGCTTGCGTTGTGGCCGAAACGTCGTGAGAATTGTATTTTATTATGTTTTATTTTTATTATTTTATGATTTCCCTTCTACGTGACTTTACCGAAAGAACCAAGAAGCTATTAACTTGCGGCTACACACCGATATTGTGTTCCCAGGACGCGCAGCCCAAGTTTGCGTCTGCGAGAGAAGAGCTACAGATTCTCCTCGCATTATACGGCTTCCTGTTTGTGCGATTTTGCGCTGTTTATGGGGCAAGCCGGTTCATACCCAAAATTCGCGAGATGCGGTTTCACTTAAGTCACGTGCGGCTACGCGCTCGGATGTAGGACAAGATTGTGTGTGTGTACTGTCCACGCTACTCGGCAGGCAGCTGTATCCTTGTGCGGTGTCGCTTTGTGTGCCCTTTTTGAAACGCATCTTCTACTAGCGCAGACAGCGAGGGAAACCTGTACATTGCACTTGTTAATTTTGACTTGCATCTAGAAGGGTTTAGGGGGGTCTGGATGCAATGTGACTTCGTGCTCCTTTACCAAAAGACATTCCAAACTCTTGCCCTCAGAAATACAATCCAGGTTTTAATGCACACACACACACAAGTAAGATGAGTGCAGTCACAGGTAACGGCAGTGTTTGTTTTAAAGCTTTCGTGACTGCAAGGATTCATATTTTTGGTTCTTTCGGGTAAAGTCACGTAGAAGGGAAATAATAAAGTAATAAAAATATAAACCAATTAAATTCTCACGACCTTTCGACTGCAACACAAGCAATCATCGTCAGGTGTGAAAACCACAGCAAGTAAATTTTAAAAAAATTGTATAATTTTATTTCGATTTAAAGCTTTCGTGACTGCAGGGATTCATCTTCTTGGTTCTTTCGGTAAAGTCACGTAGAAGGAAAATAATAAAATAATAAAAATAAAACAAAATTATTCTCACGACGTTTCGGCCACAACGCAAGCAGCCATCTTCAGGTGGAGAATTATTTTATGTTTTATTTGTATTATTTTCTTTCTACGTGACTTTACCGAAAGAACCAAGAAGATGAATCCCTGCAGTCACGAAAGCTTTAAATCGAAATTTGTCGTTGTTGTTGTTTGGAGTGGAATCCATGGAGCTGCACAAGTCTACGTCATCACCTTCGGCATCGTCTGCATCGTTGTTGGCCAAGCAGCCTGTTGCTGTCCTGACCCTGGCATCGTTGCCTGTGACGGCGACAATAAAACAGAGTGCCTCCTCAATACGACTCGTGTCTCTCTAAAGTTTCGTGTCTCTCTAAACTAATTCAGCATCAAAGGGAGGGGATAGGGGTAGCATTAATAAAGGGAAGGAGTGTTAATAGTATGTAGCTGCTGATGCTGAATTAGTACTATTCACATACCTGCATTTCCCATATCCTCTATGCTTAATACAATGAACAAAGTAATATATAGTATCGTAATTGTATAGTAAATAAATAGCAGTGTGATACACATTAGGGTGGGTAGAATAATACATAGTGTTATATTAAAATGTATAAGGTATAGGGTGGTTTATAGCAATACAGTATGTAATTTAATGTTGGGTTTGTCTATGGCAGTATATAGTACGGTGTAGACTCGTGTGATGTAAGAGAATAAAGTTTAGATGGTAGCATATTATATAATTTTTACGACGTAGAATTGTAATGTATAACTTACAGTTAGTAACTCAGCTTATTGTAGAGTATAGTAAGTATACTGATGATGCTATGTAGTTTATACTTTAGTTGTTTACGTGGTGGTTTTAGTTACTGCAGCTACATACTATTAACACTCCTTCCCTTGATTAATGCTACCCCTACCCCCTTCCTTTGATGATGAATTAGCACTATTCACATTCCTGCATTTCCCATATCCTCTCCCTTTGATGCTGCTAATCCTGCATAATGCACGGGCATATGTAGCACTAATCACATTCCTGCATTTTCCATAAATATGCTAAATTCATCTTGATATGCAAATTCCTTTGTCAAGACGCCCAGCTTATATACATGCTCCAAGCTCGTGTGCTGTTTCATTCAGACTCTGTCGCCTCGACAGACCTGGTCTTCACCTGAGGACGGCTGCTTGCGTTGTGGCCGAAACGTCGTGAGAATTATTTTATTATGTTTTATTTTTATTATTTTATTATTTCCCTTCTACGTGACTTTACCGAAAGAACCAAGAAGAAGAAGATACGTGGGATCGATTCCCGCATTCTCCAAGCGCAATATTTTTTTTAAATCAAATTTTAAATGTTAATTCCCAGCGTTAGTGTCTGTGACATCTTCACATTGGTGAACCAGCTTGGAAGTACACTGACCTCTTGTCGCTCTCGATGTTGCTGGTTTGAAGCTCCTGTTAAGACGTTAGAGATGTGACGAGAAATAAAAAAATATAAAAAAATATTATCGAGCTTGGCAGGAGTGGAACAGTCAGCCGTGTGCCCCGTGACGTCACAGACCCCACCACGTGACTCGCACGCCCCCCAGGGGACCTGAAACGTCGGCTGAGCCGCAGTGTTGAGTCTACGGCGCAGCGCGCAGTCTTATCAGTTCTACGGAATCCGAGTCTCACTCGCGTCACGTGGTCGCCTATCCGCACTACGTATTATAAACGCGCCCTGCCAATCTCACGAGTTCGCAGCTGCCTGCAGCCTCCTGCCCGAGGTGTCGGCACGCGACGTCGGACCTCCTCCTCCTGCTGCTGCTGCTGCTGCACTCCACACGAAGACATTGTTGAGTGTGTGAGCTCACAACGACGGAGAAAAGAACTCAAGACCCCCTCCCAAGACGTCGACGCAGCGTTGCGCCGGTGAGCCCTGCGGTAAGGCCTAGTCCCTGGGAGTGCCACCGGTCTCGGCTAGATTGCTCAGCCGGCCGAGGTCGCACCTTGGCCGGCTGGGGCTGGGCTGCTACCCCCCCCCCCCCCCCGTGACTGCGAGAGTGAGACTTTAGACAAAGGTGCCCCGTGTAGCCTCTAGCAGGCTGTAGGGGCAAGTGCTGTTAGTAGCACCTATACACAGACAAAGGTGCCCGTGTAGCCTCTAGCAGGATGTAGGGGCAAGTGCTGTTAGTAGCACCTATACACAGACAAAGGTGCCCCGTGTAGCCTCTAGCAGGATGTAAGGGCAAGTGCTGTTAGTAGCACCTATACACAGACAAAGGTGCCCCGTGTAGCCTCTAGCAGGCTGTAGGGGCAAGTGCTGTTAGTAGCACCTATACACAGACAAAGGTGCCCCGTGTAGCCTCTAGCAGGATGTAAGGGCAAGTGCTGTTAGTAGCACCTATACACAGACAAAGGTGCCCCGTGTAGCCTCTAGCAGGCTGTAGGGGCAAGTGCTGTTAGTAGCACCTATACAGACAAAGGTGCCCCGTGTAGCCTCTAGCAGGATGTAGGGGCAAGTGCTGTTAGTAGCACCTATACAGACAAAGGTGCCCGTGTAGCCTCTAGCAGGATGTAGGGGCAAGTGCTGTTAGTAGCACCTATACAGACAAAGGTGCCCCGTGTAGCCTCTAGCAGGATGTAGGGGCAAGTGCTGTTAGTAGTAGCTATACACAGACAAAGGTGCCCCGTGTAGCCTCTAGCAGGAGGTAGGGGCAAGTGCTGTTAGTAGTAGCTATACACAGACAAAGGTGCCCCGTGTAGCCTCCAGCAGGATGTAGGGGCAAGTGCTGTTAGTAGCTCCTATACACAGACAAAGGTGCCCCGTGTAGCCTCTAGCAGGATGTAGGGGCAAGTGCTGTTAGTAGTAGCTATACACAGACAAAGGTGCCCCGTGTAGCCTCTAGCAGGATGTAGGGGCAAGTGCTGTTAGTAGCTCCTATACACAGACAAAGGTGCCCCGTGTAGCCTCTAGCAGGAGGTAGGGGCAAGTGCTGTTAGTAGCTCCTATACACAGACAAAGGTGCCCCGTGTAGCCTCTAGCAGGATGTAGGGGCAAGTGCTGTTAGTAGTAGCTATACACAGACAAAGGTGCCCCGTGTAGCCTCCAGCAGGATGTAGGGGCAAGTGCTGTTAGTAGCTATACACAGACAAAGGTCCCCCGTGTAGCCTCTAGCAGGCTGTAGGGGCAAGTGCTGTTATCACCCCCAATACACAGACAAAAATCCCCTGTGTAGCCTCTAGCAGGTTATAGGAGCAAGTGCTGTTAGCAGCACCTATACACAAAGATCCCCCGCGTAGGTGATGGTGGTGATGGTGGTGTTGATGGTTGTGATGGTGGTGATGGTGGTTGTGATGATGGTGGTGATGATGGTGTTGATGCTGGTAATGGTGTTGATGGTGGTGATGGTGTTGATGGTGGTGATGGTGGTTGTGATGATGGTGGTGATGATGGTGTTGATGCTGGTAATGGTGTTGATGGTTGTGATGGTGTTGATGGTGTTGATGGTTGTAACGGTACAGGGACCTGTTCTCGCTGCACCA